CACGTTGGCTGGGACAGCGCAGGCGGAGAGACAGCACTGGAGTTGCCAGGGGGTCTGAGTGCGAACCACAGGTTGCCAGTTACTGGCTATGCAATCTCATTCCCATTCACGGAGCCTTATTTTCCTTGTGTAAAACCAGAGGGGAATAAAAACCCTCCAGGATCAAAATGAGCCTTAAAAAAATTCACATCCAGGAAGATGCCAAGTGTGGCACCCGGTGCCTAAGAAATTGTCAATAAATATTTACTAAAATAAGCAATACAAACAGCTAACAGCAATTTAAGAAATGACGTGAGGATAAATCCTTTTAAGAAATTAGGATCCTAGCTGACCGCCTAGGGAGTTATCAATCGACTCTACCTAGAACAAAACAATGTGAAAAACAAAAAGTATAGATATGAACCTAGATTAGCCCACAGACCGAGCACAAGTATAAGGGTTTGCTGCAAGACCAGTCTATGTGGCATTTTACCTGTCAAGGAAAGAAAAGGCCTATGGATTGAAAGAGTAGTGATGGGGCTGGAAAAATCCAAGGAAGATTCCACTAGTTGACAGTGGGGCTGCAATGAGAAGCCAGAATGGAGCACCTGCACTTCTCCGGACACCCTCGCTATGAATACAGCACCGTCATCCCTGAAGCCAAGGCCAGGTGTCTAAGTGACTGGGCCACAGGACTCGGGAGTTTGTTTCATCCGAGCGTCGGCTCGAATGGCAGCAGAGGGACAAGGCCTGATGAGAATTCGGGCCTGAGAGATAACAGCAGATAAAACCGTGGCCACGGTGGGGTCTTGTCCGCCCAACCCCAGCCCACCAGCCTCCCACTCCCTGTAGAAAGACCAGACGTCTCAAGACGTCTGCCCAGCCTACCCACTCTGTGACTTTGCGCAAAGCAAGAATATTAAGTACCTTAAATAATCTTAGATTTTTCCATTATGTTCCTTGAGTGAATTTAACCTGTTAACCCCCTTCCTTCTGTAAAAAAAGGAGTTTGTACCTGTCTCAGGGCCTAATGTTGGGCTAAAAAAAAAATATCCAAAAACTCCCACTTTGGATGTCTGTAGCCTTGGAAGTCCCCCATGCAAACGGGGAAAGCAGCTGGTAAGGGAGGAAGCCCCTGCCCCCCCCGAGCCCGCAGTGCCTGCCTGCCGAGTCAGTCACGCAGATTGCTGGAGCCTGGCTGGGGGGTTATGGGCTGCACCTGTTTACCTCCCAGCTGGCCCTTCTGCATTACTTTTATCTGGTCGTACCCAATGGGCCCTGAAATTCTCCTCTGTGTAGTTTTGGGGTCTCCTCTGCTCTCAAACAGGAGCCTCCTGTCTGTGTCCTGGTTGTAGCCCCTGGGGCTTTAGGCAGTGCCCGCTGAGCCCAGCCCTTCCACGAAGCCCTCTCCCAGCTGAGCCCACGCCACCTCCCCTGCCCCCAGCTCCCCTGCCGCTGCAACTCAGTGCTTGGTTCTCTGCCAGCGCACGACCCCTGCACTTTTTTATTAGCATTGCCTTTGCCCATGACTTGGACAGCAAATTCAGAAGTATAGCCCCAAGCCACATGCTGCTGTGCCAGCCCCTACCAGGTCACTCCCACCGCCAGGACCCAGGCACCAGGAGCCAGACTCTCAAGCTGAACCGCACTCAGCGTGCACACACGCCCCTCCGAATCCAGCCCTTTGCAGCCTGGCGCTCTGCTTGTGGCGGTGCACATCCATCCAGGTGAAGGCTCTGGGCCCTCCCGCTCCCCGCCAGGGAGCACAGCCGTCTCCCTCTCCTCTTTCCCTTCCCCCAAGTCGAACATGCAACAAGTAAGCTTTCGAGAGCGCCACCCTCCCAACACCCATGGTGAACGGAGTCCGGAGAGGCAACACACGGACCACCCCCCAGCTCCCCACAGGGGCCCCCACCTTTACCTTTTGGGTCAGGTTGAACGAGTGATGACTCAGGAGAGGGAGAGGTGGAGGATGACAACTTAGCTAAGATTTCTGCCCCTGCAAGGGACTTCAAGGCAGGGGAAGCACATGGGGAGGGGGCCCTGCACTCAGGACCCCGCCACGGGCAGCCCTGCCTCCCTACCCCCCACCCCCCACCCCGCAGCAGCCAGGCAGGGAGGAGACACAGCCTCCAGGAACAGGGATGAACACGCCCACACACAGACCACCTTCACTAGTCATTCCCCTTAAATCTCCAAGAAAAAGTTATGTAAGGGGAAGCCACACAGCCCCGAAGGGGAGAGGGAACATTTTGTTCAGCCCTGGGGTATTTAACTGAATAAGAGGCTCCCAGAGAACAAAGCGAGAATCCAGCGTCAGTCTCCCATACAGAGAGACAAAGCATCAGGAGGGGAGAAGCACACGCAGGCGCCCACCGTTCCCCGTGCACCTCGGCATCCAGGCCCGGAAGGGCTGCTTGCTTACTCGGCTCCAGGGGTTCTGGAGGTCTCCTCTTCTCGCAGGAAGCGCAGGGCTGCCCGGTGCTGGGAGGCAGGTCACAGGCGACAGGACAGGAACAGCTCCCGGCTCTGACAAACCCTGCTGCTTCCCTCCGAGGGCCCATCAGAGCCGGGCTGTCCCAGCCCCTTCAGCAAAGGTCATGTCTAGGTTCGGCTGCTCTCGGAGCTGTCGCCACTGCACGTTTGCAACAGATGGGGCCCGGGGCTGGGCGTGTTCCCAGTCCCCACCGCGGCGCAACAAGCGGCTGGCAGACAGCATGAGCCGGCCTGAGACAGCGCAGGCGACAGTCGTGCCGGCTAGAGCTGGTTTGCTGCTCGAGAGGCAGGCAGAGCTCGGGCGGATACCCTCATTGATGGGACTGCAGCAGTCTCTCATTACCACCTGTGTCAGGGCTGCCGGGGAGCTAACTCCGGAGCACACAGGCAAGCCAGCAGGAGGGAGGGCTGAGCCGGAGCTTTTAAAAAGACAGGCTGCAGGGGAATGAAGGCAGGACCCAGGCCGATGAGACAGCAGTTGAGGCAGCTGGGCTCGGGGGGCTTCTGGCCAGCACTGCCCCTTCCTCACTTTCTTCAAAGGCTGGACACAGGCAGAGCAAAACGGCACGTGGGTTTCAGAAATCCATACTCCCTGGGAATCCCTGTCCTCGGAGGAAACAGAATCCAGTTTTTCTCTAGCAAGAAGCAGCAAGAATGGCTACGGCCCCCCGCAAGCTCTTAGGGATGTCTTCATTGACACCAGGTCCCCAACGCCTACCAGACAACCTGCAGACATCCAGAAGGCAGCGCGGCCCCTGCCTATGCTGTGGACTGAGTTTTATTCTCTATGCTCTGATGCTTTGGTCTGAGGGTCTTCCCAGGCGTAGCCAATGCCTAGAGAGTAAGTAACTCCCTGTGAGCTCACCGTTCTTGTGCAAACCGACTCGTCCAGAGCCTCACCCCTCCCACCTCCGCTGTGGGGGCTCTCAAGCCCTGGGCCGCTATGCCTCTGCCCTGACCACCCCCAAGACAGGGACCAGACAGCCAGGAACAGCCCCCACGCACACCTCAGGGCCCATGCAATTCAGACTCACCCACTCCTTCCCATGCAACCACAAGGAACGCTCCTGGGCCCTTTTGCCCCTTGCTCTCCTCTGCCTCATGCCTGAGGCTAGTGCTGGCCGGTGTGGCCCTGCGTGACCCTGCGTGGCCCTGCATGGCCCATGTGGCCCTGCGTGGCGCTGCCTGGTGTCCTGAACCTCCCATTTCCAGAGATCTGTGAGGATAATAACTGCCCTGTCAGGGTCTTGCCACGCCTGATTCAAACAAGTCCCAAGTGCGCTTTGAAGAATGCTCTAAGGGATGCATAACTGGTTGGAAACAAGCTGAGCCTCAATCATTAGGCAAAAGCGCAGGTCCCCACTTGAGCAGCCTGCGATGTTGATTATTACATGCAATTGCTAATGACTTGGATTTCCAGCAATGGAGGCAGTGCCTCGAAAGACAGTGTTCAGGGGAGGAGGGTTCTTCCAAAGGCTGTGACCCAAGGGCTGTGAGGAAATGGGCAAATTTGCAGCTCGTGGAAGACAGGCAGCAGCGAAGAATGGGAAACACGAATGTGAACAGCGTATGCAGAGGGCCAACGAAAGAACGTCACGTGGCTGCCTACCAAGGCTGATGAAAAAAAGACAACCACTGGGGCCCGGCACTGTGGTGTAGTAGGCTAAGCCTCCCTATGGGTGCCGGTTCGAGTCTCGGCTGCTCCATTTCTGATCTGGCTCTCTGCTGTGGCCTGGGAAAGCAGTAGTAGATGGTCCAAGTCCTTGGGCCCCTTCACCCACGTGGGAGACCCAGAAGAAGCTCCTGGCTCTCGACTTTGCATCGGCCCAGCTCCATTTTGGGAGTGAACCAGTGGATGGAAGACCTTTTTTCTCTGTCTGTCTCTGTCTCTGTCTCTGTCTCTCTCTCTCTCTCTGTAACAATAACTCTCAAGTAAATAATAAAAATTTTTTAAAAAAAGAAAGACAACCACCGAGTAAGCACGGGGGTTTTGGGAGACTGCTGACGGGGTTGGGAGTCCATGTCTTATTAAGGGCACTGGCAGTGCAGGAGGGTAACACACACTTCTTGCCCATCTCATGGTTCCTTCTGACACGGCAGAGGTGAGCGGCGTCTGGTGTGGGGACGAGATCTCCAGGAGTCCAGGGAGCCGGCCTCACCTGTGGCCGTCCCAAGCAGACAGGCTTGGAGCTCCTCTTGAAGCCTCAACTCTGTTTTCGTGTTTGTTGATGGAACAACGTGTTACACGATGTAGCTCAAGGTCCTTTCCAGCCCTAAGCACCAATGTTCTGTGACCACAGCTCAGGCCCAAGTCATGGCTAAGGCATTTCTCTGAGCCTCCAACCCTCTTCTGGAAAAACAACCTGAGTGGAAATACTTGCTCAATGCATCTCCCAGGGCTGCTGTTGGGATAATGGATGAACAGGCATTCTGGACAGAAATAAGCGTCGGCTTGGGATATGCGAGATGACTCTGGAACCAGAAGGCAGTACTGGCATAAACGCGAGGCTTAGCAAACAGCTGGCTCTGTGTAGCCATGAGCAAAGGGCCGACATCCTGTGGCCAGCCCCCGGGGCGAGGATGCGAGAGGCCAGCTGCAGAGCTGGCCAATCTCAACACCGTCCCCTGCTGATTCTAGCCTTGCTGGGTGAGCTGGGCTTGTTTTATTTTCTTTGTGCTTTATTCCAAAGCACACAAACAGGCCTGTGGAAAAAAGCCCAATTCGTTTTGCTTGGAAAAACTGGGAATGCCAAGGGAATGAGGGCCACGATTCAGAAGACAGGAAGGCTCAGCGACACTCAGAGATGAGCACCGGGTGCGTTGATTCCCTGCAGCTCCGAGGGAGGGGCGGGGGCTGTCTCCATCACGCCATGCCAAGGGTTCTGCTCACGCCGTTGACCTCTACTGGGGCCACTCCCACCACCTGCCTGGACTCTCCTGCGCTCACCTTGGTGAGTCTCACTTCCCCTTCAGGCTCTGAGCGGTCCCTCTTCCCAGACGTGGTCCAGTAGATCAAGGACACCTAGGAGAGCCTGCAGGCCACTGTTGGTGCAAAGGGCTACTCCCAGAACGGGGAGGGACACAGCCCTTCCAGACTAACACAGCCCTCCCTGACCTATCTCCCTCACTAATTAACCTCCCTGAACGCTGTCTTCCAGGCGTCATTCTACACTTGATCCTAGCCGAAAGGCCGAGAAGCGATCCCAGGTATGATTCTTGGCACCTTCACCAGGCCAAAAAAGAACAGAGCAGACCTGAAACCCTTCGCTCACTCCCTGCTACCTACAGAACGAACCCTGATCTTTCAGTGTGAGACACTGGCCCACGGGGACCCTTCAGGCCTCATAGCCTTGCCAAATCTGCCCATCAGAGCCCTCAAGGGCCCCTGAGCACCCCCACAGGCACCCACAGATCTGCATCCCCCGATGCCCTTCCCTCCCATCGGTAGGCTGTGGCTCAACTCCTCTGCCGAAATTGATTTTCTTACTGTACTTCCAGTACTGAGCGCTTTTCGTGAACTGTCTCAACCTGCACAACAGGACCACAGACTGATTGACAGCCAGGACATCGAGGCTCTGAGAGGCAGAGTCACCAAGGTTGCAACTCCTAGATGGGCTCGTGGTGACATTTTCCTCCAGAGCCTGGCTCCGTGCCACGCTGTCCTAGCGCTTCACACACACCGCGTGCCCCTTACTTATTTGCTTTTGCCTATGTGTAACTTTGGGTTTTCCTGTGGCCGAGGCTCCTTCATTGCTTGTGTGATCAGAGTAAAAGGAATAGGGGTCAGCGCTGTGGTGTAGTGGGTAAAGCCACCACCTTCAGTGCCGGCATCCCATATGGGCACCGGTTCTAGTCCCAGCTGCTCCTCTTCCCATCCAGCTCTCTGCTGTGGCCTGGGAAAGCAGTGGAAGATGGCCCACGTGCTTGGGCCCCTGCACCCACGTGGGAGACCTAGAAGAATCTCCTGGCTCCTGGCTTCAGATCAGTGCAGCTCCAGCCATTGCAGCCAACTGGGGAGTGAACCAGCAGATGGAAGACCTCCCTCTCTCTCTCTCTCTCTCTGCCTCTCCTTCTCTCTCTATGTAACTCTGTCAAATGAACGAATAAATAAATCTTTAAAAAAAAAAAAAAGGGAATACGCTCCCACTCTCCGTGTTGGTCACTGCCCTGCCCACCCTGAAGAATGTCAGGAATGAACAGGGAGTCTCTGCCATGATAAGGAAGGATTAGACACCACTGGGTGTGCAAATCAGGGTGTCACCACGTCTGCTAGGATGGAGTCACACGTTGTGCTGTTATGAGATGATGGAAAAATTGAAACGCCATGCAGAAACCGTGCCTCCTAGACCCTGCTCCTGAATAACAGACCTGGGTTAGATTCTTCAGCATCCCAGGGATCCAGCACGAATCCTTGCCAAGTCCCGGGCCATCATTAGCCTTGAGCTTAAAAGTCAGATTCTGCATGCCAGGCACCCCTGGGATGAGGCCCCCACTGCACGTGACCAAGTGATTGCAGCCCTAACAGCAACAGACTCCCCACAGCCCTGTGTGCAGAGCCAGCCACAGCACAAGGCCCTCACAGGCAACATGCAGAGGGCTAATAGCAACTACCCCAAAGCCGAGACGCTGCTCAGTTAAGCCTTGATTCCTGCTATAGGGGCTGTCACTGTCCCCACCCTCACAGTTAAAGTCCGGGGCCTGGAAGAGGTGTGCAAGCCAGAGGCAGGCAATGGAGCTGTGGAGATGCTGAGACCAGAGGGGGCCCCTGGGTCCAGTGCCTGGGTGCTGGCTTCACCGGCCGTGCTTGCACTACACTGGGAAGCCTGGCAGCCCAGGAGAGGAGGCGTGGGCTGGGCCACCCTGTGGGGACAACAACATCTGAGCTCCACCAGGCAAGAGGGCTGCCGACAGGCTGGTACTTTACTTTGGAACTCCCTTTGACAAATAGTTCGAGTTCAGTGTCCTTATACTCGCTCACTGCACAGAACAGGTTGGGGGTGGTTTGGTAGCCTTCGAAATACCCTAACTGGGAACCAACCCGCCAACATCCCTGTTGAAATCTGGAGCGGAGGGCTTGCATATCAGCTCCGGGACAGTTAGAAGCAGTTTTTCAGGGCGGATGATGCTGTGGCACAGAGGGTTGGCCACATTCCCATATCAGAGTGCCCGGTTCAAGTCTGGGCTCCTGCATTCCCAACCCAGCTTCCTGCTAATGCATCTTGGAATGAAGCAGGTGGTGGCCCAAGTACTTGGATTCCTGTCATCCATGCGGGAGATTTAGATGGAGCTCTTGGCTCCTGGCTTCAGCCTGGCCCAATCCTGGCTGTTGACAGGCATTTGGAGAGTGAACCAGCAGATGGAAGATTTCTCTCCCTCTCTCTCTGCCTTTCAAATAAATGTTTTTAAGAAATGCCTTTACACTGGTGAAATGAGTGGTGCTGAGGGTAAGTGTGGTGGCAGGAGGCAGTGCAGGCTGCGGCCCCCTTGAACAAGCCTGATGGAGGTCCTGGCCAGCTCAGCAGCCGACCTGAGCCGCAGTCCTCGAGGCCCAGCGGCCATCCGTCCCATGCTAAGGACACTTTTGGGTCCTGCTCTGGGTTATGCTGCCAATGGGTAGTGGCGACAGCTACCGGAACTGATTGGACCTGCTATCTAAAGTCACCTCCAGGATTTTGGCAAACTCTGGTTTAACGCCGGGGCTGGTGTTGTGGGACCTGCAGTGCTGGCATCCCATATGGGCCCTGGTTTAAGTCCTGGCTGCTCCACTTCTGATCCAGCTCTCTGCTGTGGCCTGGGAAAGCAGTAGAAGATGGCCTAAGTCCTTGGGCCCCTGCACCCATGAAGGAGACCCAGAAGAGGCTCCTGGCTCCTGGCTTCAGATCAGCCCTGCTCCAGCCATCACAGCCATCTGGGGAGTGAACCAGCAGATGGAAGACCTCTCTCTCTCTCTCTCCTTCTGCCTCTCTGTAACTCTGCCTTTCAAATAAATTAATAAATCTTTACTTCATGTGACAGACCAGCCAGTCCTGGTACAGGGGGATGTACAACCTCACCCACCTCCATCCCTGGAGAGCACCAGTATTTACCAAAGTCACAGGATATTTGCAGAACCAGCTGAGATGAGAACAGCTGGCCATGTAGCCACTCCCTGGCTTCCTCCATCAGACAGGACCAGCACTCCTGAAACTCCCAGCATGCAAAGCCTCTTGGAATCATCAATATCTGATGCCCTTATCTTAAAGGCAAAGGCACAAAATCAAACTAGAACCCCTGAAGGGTTAACAGTCTTTCCCTCTTTCAACACCAACTCTCAACACCTGAAGGTCTCAGGAGACTTGGCTACCGCTGGGAGCCTCACAGGTGGAACCAGCTCCCGGGCCCCACGCTGCCCTGAGCCTCAGCTATGGGAGAGGGGCCACCATCCCTCGGTCCGCAGCCGCGCTGTGCACACCGAGCCCACAGGTGGGGACCTCGGAGGCTGGCCTGTGTTCAGGAGTAGGCCATCCACTGCACTGTGGGCTTGCCTGTCAAATTAGCTAACATGCAGCAAACTGTAAGTCCCTGGGCAGTGACTGGGAGCTGCTGACAAGGCCCAGACTGGGTCCCAGGTGCTCATGGTTCTCTCTCGCTGCACGTGGTGAGGAGGAGACTGGGCTGCCCACAGGGAAGTGACCCGAGGTGTTCCACGTGGCTCCATGGTGACTTCCTCCACTGCAGCCTGATGGTATAAGCCAGTGGGTGCACCACCCAAGGGACCCGATTCAGAGCAGGAAGCAGTGTCACTCACACTAGCAGCAGCAGCAACCATTTTTAAAATAATCCAATGCCCACCCAAAGGCGCACTGATGGATTTAGGGTGAACCAGACACAGGCTTGAGACACCCTGGGATTTACAGAACTCCCATCCCCGTGCCAGGTCTGTGCCGGGGTGCTGGACATAAGAACATGAGGGAGACGCCGCCCCCCACCTCATGGCCTGCAGGGAAGTTGTAGGGACAAGAGTCACTGTCACTTCGTGTGCTACAAACCACAGCCACCATAGACGTTCCCAGAGGGGAGTGGCTGCTTTGGAAGGAAGTTATAAAAATGAGTTTCAGTGGTCGGTGCTGTGACATAGCCAGTAAAGCCGCCGCCTGCAGTGCAGGCATCCCATATGGGCGCTGGTTCTAGTCCCAGCTGCTCCACTTCCAATGCAGCTCTCTGCTATGGCCTGGGAAAGCAGCACAAGAAGGCTCAAGTCCTTGCGCCCCTGCACTCACGTGGGAGACCCAGAAGAAGCTCCTGGCTCCTGGCTTCAGATCAGTGCAGCTCCAGCCATTGCAGCCAATTGGGGAGTGAACCAGCAGATGGAAGACCTCCCTCTCTCTCTCTCTTTTTCTCTCTCTCTCTGCCTCTCCTTCTCTCTGTGTGTAACTCTTTCAAATAAATAAATCTGAAAAAAAAAATGGGTTTCACAGGGTCTGTCGTTGTGGTGCATATGGCTTAAACTGCTGCTGGTGACACCAGCATCCCATGTTGGAGCGCCAGTTAGAGTCCTGGTTACTCTGTTTCCAACTCAGCTCCCTGCTAATGCTCCTGGGAGGGCAGTGGAAGATGGCTCCAGTGCTTGGGCCCCTGCACCTCCGTGGGAGACGCGGATGGAGTTTCTGGTTACTGGAACTTCGGTCTGGTCCTGACCTGACTGTTGTGGCCTTTTGGGGAGTGAACCAGTGGGTGGAAGATCTGTCTCTCTGTCTCTCTCTCATTCAGTCTTTCAGATAAACCTTTTTAAAAAGGGTTTGAACGATAAGACTGGGATAAGGAGAACTGGGTAAAACTGGAGGCTTTGGGGGCTGTCATTGTAGCTAAGCCACCGCCCGAGATGCTGGCATCCCTTATGTGCACTGCTTTGTGTCCTGGCTGCTCCACTTCCTACCCAGCTCCCTGCTAACAATCTGTGAAGGCAGTGGAACATGGCCCAAATACGTGGGCCCCTGCACCCACATGGGAGACCCAGAAGAAGCTCCTAGCTCCTGGCCATCTAGGGAGTAAACCAGCAGATGGAACATCCCTCTCTCTGTGTGTCTCTCCCTCTCCCTATAACTCTGCTTTTCTAATAAATAAATCTTTTTAAAAAAGAAAGAAACAAACAAACAAACACATTGGAAGCACTGTTAGTTCCTCACATTTTGGAAACTAGTGCCTTCTCCTCCTTTGGCCCCAGACTCACTGCCAAGGCTCTGGAAGGCTCTGGAAGACTCTGGAAGGCCCAGCAACTTGGTCTTCTTTTTAAGCCAGGAGCCAGGATTGCCCCAGACTCAGCTCATCCACAGCCGAAGACCGGCTGGCTGCAGTGCGAGCCCAGCTCGGCTCTGGCCCGTGCTTGAGTTCAGGACATCTGTGACCTAAAACGGCCTCAGTGGCACCACCGAACAGAAGGCTCCGGCTGCTTGGGTGGTGGGAGGCCAGGCTGTCCCTCACCAGGCACCAGGCTCCTGGTTTAATTGAAATCAACAAAGGAGCAAAGCAATTTTTCTCTGCAGCCTGTGACAATGCCCCTGAGCGCGTCCTCCTTAGACAAACTGGACTCGCCCTACCCAGCCCGCTGCCGGAGACGAGTCCCCTGTTCCCTGGGCCTCCTTTCCCCTCCCTCCCTCCCTTCCCTTCTTCTTTGTAAATTCATTTGAAAGTCAGAGAGAGAGAGAGAGAGACAGACATATAGGCCGTCCACCTGTTGTCCACTCCCCAAATGCCTGCAACAGCCAGGGCTTGGCCAGGCCAAAGCCAGAACCCTCGAACTCAATATGGGTCCCCCCGCCCCCGCAGTGAGTGGCGGGACCCAAGTACTAGAGCCATCACCTGTCACCTTCCAGGGTGCGCACACTAGCAGGGAGCTGGAAACAAAGCCAGGCTTCAACCCCAGGCAACGCCAAACAGGATTTGGGCACACAAGCAGAGATCTGTTACACCAAACGCCCACGCCTTATGCTACTACTTTTCTACAGGTTCAAATCCCAGCTTTGCCAGTTCCTAGCTCTGTGACCTTGGCTAAGTCATTGACCTTTCCTCAACTATAAAATGGGATTCATACTAATGATACCTGCCCCTCTGGGTTC